GGAGACAATAAGAAAATGGCCCAAATCAAGGCTGGAGGCTATACAACAAACAACTGCTACAACTTAATAATGACAAAACTTGATTTCAAACAAGACTCTACCACAACACAAAAAGGGTATTAGTTCCAACAAGATGTTCTGTGACTTACCATTTCACTGAAATCAGGCAAAGTTTTTTACTCATTTACTCATTTACCCTTATGTCGTTTTAAAAATTAAAAGACTTTCGTTCTGCCATTTAAAGGCCTAGACACCAAAAGTCGACTGTGGTGCCATTTCACATCATTTGCGCCTGGGACAAAAAAAATGTGCATCAAAATACCACAAAAACGACAGCCAACTCTCCGTACCAGCAGATGGCAGTAGTCTGTATTCAACATTAAAAAATACGAAACCGGAAGAGCTAGGACTACGAATATACAATGAGAAGAGCATTCTTGTTTGTGCCCCTTTTCGATTTTACTCTTTACTTGCTTTTGTCACTTAAGTTATTTTCATGCACTGGTTCACTAAGCTGAACACCCAATCAGAGTGGTCACTCACTGACAGGCTCTTATTTGACATGCTCAATTGTCCGAAAAGCCATGACAGTGATCAGACTACTGGCAATGGTGTGGAACAAACGGCAAAAACTAGGCCAACAGACGCTCAACGACAGCTTGACATTGTTAGCTTGGTGTTTATGGGCCTTATCGCAACAAAAAAAAAAAGAAATTCTGAAGAAAATTCATGCTGCTCTATTCCAAAAACAGGCTTCTATTAGAATGGCGTGAAGATGTTTAAATGATAACTCAATTGCTAGCTTTGGGTGAACTATTCCTTTAACATCCAAGCATGGATAAGGATTTGTCTGGAGCTTCTAGCACTCAATCCGAGTCAATGCAGACAACCTCACTAATGCAAAGATAGAGTTCCTCGCCCCAGGAGTATCCCTACTCTTTACTTAAGAAAGGGATCCATTTCCTATCTCAGAACAGAAATGGGAGCTCTATACACATGCATAATTCATGAGGTCTCTCTTTCTTTACAAAGGTCTTACAGTAAATACACCTTCACTATGGGGGGAAGTTGTGGCCTAATGGTTAGAGAGTCGGACTCGTAACCCAAAGGTTGTGGGTTCGAGTCTCGTACCGGCAGGGATTGTAGGTGGGGGGAGTGAATGTACAGCGCTCTCTCCCACCTTCAATACCACGACTGAGGTGCCCTTGAGCAAGGCACCGAACCCCCAACTGCTCCCCGGGCGCCGCAGCATAAATGGCTGCCCACTGCTCCGGGTGTGTGTTCACGGTGTGTGTGTGTTCACTGCTGTGTGTCTGCACTTTGGATGGGTTAAATGCAGAGCACTAATTCCATGTATGGGTCACCATACTTGGCCACATCTCACGTCACTCACGTCACTATGAGTATTGACCAACTTATGGAGTTTAATCAATGTCCAGTTTGTAAAGCTTTACATTTGCTCCCTCAGCCCTGGTTACATCCTCAATTCAGATTAAATAAATGCTCTCTGTAACTTTTGAGGTTTTTCAGGTTCTCATTACTGAACAGCCTAGCAGGATCCAAAGAGTCGACGTGCCTCATATCATCTAATGAGCGAGACTCTAACGGCATCAAGAGCGCTCAATCTTGCTAATCAGCACCTACTGTAGGCCCAGTCATCACTCAGTTCAGTCAGCGAGGCAGAGCTAAGCTCATTTCCCTCTCACCGGAATGAATAAATTGGCCCTAGTCTGTCTTCAAACCACCTTGTCCCGACAGAAGGTCAGTAAATCAATAATGCGTGCAAATACACGAAAAAACAATTAAAAGTCGCCATTTTTCCTTCTCAAGGATGTCCCTACAAGCTCAGAAATGTTTCTCTTCCCTGCCGACAGGTCTCCTCAGACATAGCCTAGCTCCGCTTCATGAATATTCCAGGACATGACGGAGGAAAACAGCAGCTATGACAGTCACACAACCCTGGAATGACTTCATAATCAATCCCATGATTCCTCTCTGCCTGCGAACCATGAGTACATGCACCTGGGGCTCGCCAGGGCAGATACCCAATGACAAGTCTCTCCGTTATGCTGCAACAGCCACTTATTGAACAGCAAAGCAATGAATCTATCCTATCTGTCCATCACTAGTGAAGATATACATGCACTAGCCGTGTTTTCTGTAATGAGAGGCCGGCTTATTTCGAAGACGGTGTAAGGCATGAAGGACCATTTATTGACACGCTCTGAAGTGTACTGTCGACTTACTGTGCTTGACTTCTTCCCTTCCATCCACGGTCCTGAGGTGAGAACAGCAACTGATTGCAGAGCAATAAAGAGGGATGAACTCCATAATGAACTCAATTGGTTTTGTGTTAATTGCGGCTCATTTCAATAACTAATATCGGTCGCAATATTGTTCTAAAGGCTCAGGGGAGCAATAACTGACATTTGGCGAGATGCACAACATATTAGCAGAGCTGCAGTTGGAACTGAAGGATCACCTCTGATCAGTAAAACTGGTTGCCTCGTGCACTTATCCCCAAACTAATGCATTCTAACAGATTGTGTGCAGCATCTTGGGTGTAATTGACCTGAGGTTAATCACACTGCTGACCTTTGAGAGATGACAGAGGAGGGTACAAGATATACTGCACATTCGCTCTGACCTCAAGACAACAAGCAATATGTTCTCCAAAAACAACCTTTTTCATAATACAGCTCTAATCCCATTAGCAATTCAACAGAATACGATTCCGGCTGGTTTACAAAGCCATTTATCAAACCGGCTTGTTCAGGACGAAATACATTTGGTGCACGAAGAAAATTAACAAACTGTGTCTGGGTGCATCTGTACATATAACCAAGAGAACTTCAAGAACAAAAGAGGGGCCACCAGACCCCAATTCTCCCGAGGGAAGATGATGACAGTCCTTGAAGCACAATGCTGAACAACTACAGGTTTCCGAACTTTCTTTGCCACCTGCTGGACCTCTATGCTGCTTCAACTTGCTTTAAAAGATCAGCTATTGTTCTAGTCCCCAGGGGCCGTAAGAAACTTTAATGACTTCGAACTCATGACAGTTTGGTGGTCCTATCGACAATTGAGCAACTTGTTTTGACCTACTTTGAAACAAGTCCCTGCTGGGCCCCAAGAAGTTCTCCGACTTGGAAAGGATAGTTCACAACAGGCGTCAAATGGAGCTTTACTTCTTGTCACAACAACCTGCCCATCTGAAACCCTACAGCAAGATTTATAACTAAACGACTACCTTGAAAGGGAGGTAAACACTAAACTAGCCCCAATATGGTGGTCTAGATCTACACTAGAATTGTTGAGTCTGCCCTCACTTCACCAACAACAATCTGGACTAGCCTATTCCTTTAGTTTCTTCAAACTGATGTCCTGAAAGCCATCAGACAAGACCTCTAACACTCCAGCCATCACCCATTTGAAACACTGATCAAGACCAGCCTTTTCCTAAAGCAGTAGGTTCTTATTATCAGATCAACAACATCTCTGACACTGTACTGTACTCTAGACACAAAAACAGAACTGGTGGAACATTTCCAGGATGTTATCCATTTACATGCAACTGTCATTCATTTACATTTAAGTACCTTGAAAGTAATAATAAGTTTAATTATATTTTAATTTCAATCCATTCTGATGCTGAATTTTAGTTACAAGATAAGTATCTGTGTGTTTAATTCTGTATGAGAGAGCAATGAGTGTGAATGGACAGTTCACCACAGGATGGTATGGGAAAGTGACCATTCACACTCCAATGATGAGTACCAGTCCCATTGGAAAACCACTGTAATTGGCTGCACACTGAGCTACTCGCATGGTGACATCTGGAAACACGCAGGTCATTTCTATCATCTCATCGACTGCCCGGGAGAATATTCCAACCGCAGACAGAGTGGATCCATATTCCCTGCAGACATGCTGGAAGTTAGAAGCAGTGACATGGGGAAAAAGGAAAGATGCAGAGCAAAAATAGGGTGAAATGTTGATCAGGAATACAGTACAGCCCATACATGCTCTTAGAATGGAGCTGAAGGGGTGTTGATGACTATAAAGTGGGCATGTCGAGAGTCATAAGGTCCCTGTGGTAGAAACGAGCCCTATTTGTTGTCTTACAGTCATGGTTTATTTCTGAATTTCCTTTGTTGCCTTCTCCACTGCAAATATTCTACTTCTCCATTCACCACCCTCTTATTTTATGTCTGTTCCCCGTCACACCCACATAGACCTTGTGGGGTCTAGTAAACTCATTCAAGCACCTACAAATGCACACACACATATAGAGCCCAAGTAAAGTCTTTAGCACTCTGTAGAATGAGAAGAAAGGTGTTGTGGATGATTTATGTGTTTGATTTCACTCACTGCATTTGAGCACACACTCTTCTGATGAGAGTATTAAATCGGCTAGGACAAAGGATAACAGTCGGTGAGGAGCGGACATATATCATCTGAATGTCCCCAAACGAAGAAGTCATGAAAGCATTCACAAGGAGCGAGGCATTCACCTTTATCAAACCGCATAATAATTAGCATTAGCACTTGCATATGACAAGCATCGACTGATGTAACCGGTCAAGAGCGCTGCCAAGATTAGCTCCTGAAAAGCCACCAGAAACATTTTAAGGCTTCAAACTCATATATGCATTTCTTTCTGCACAAAGCTCAAAAAAAAAAAAATGAAAACCAAAAAAACAAGCATCATTAGGTCCAGTGGCAAGCAAAGCTTCATGTAAACTGTCCCAATCCCCAGAAGACAAAAATCCCTGCACATACTCAGGTAATGAGAGCAATGGGAGGGAGGTATGTGTGTTTATGTAAAATTAGCTCAGTTATAATGATGTAGCGGTGAAGGGACCATCGTTAGAGAGGTCACTAAAGAAACCAATAAGCAGAGAAGACATACAAACAAGCGGGTGAAAAGTGTACCTGTGCCGCTCTCTAATGGGGCTTCAACAGCAGCCATCTCAACAATCTGAACAAGGGTTACTCACTAGAGGAGTGCAGGGAGTCCAGTACTCTGGGTTCAGCTCGGCTCGGGAGCGAAGGTCCAGATAGTCGGGGTTCAGTTCGGTGCGGGCACGGGTAAGCGTTCCCTTAAAAGCCAAGAAAAGGCAGGGTTACAAGTCCACCTAGTAAGCAACTTTTTCAAAGATGTGAAATGAGTGATGATATGGCTGGAATCACAAATTGTGGGGAGTGATGGGAACCAGAGAAAGTAGAGGAAAATAGATTTCTCACAGAAGAATAAATGAGAGAAACAGGATAATACTGGTTATACGTATGGATACTGGATATGACATTTTTATATTTAGATTCAATTACCTCTCAATCTTTAAAAACAAAAATAATAATAATTTATTAACGTTGTTAAAATTTAATTTTCAGAACATATTAAAATCAATATGCACACTGTACATTAAAATGTATTTGTTTTTATTTCAGAATTTTAATCTTCAGCCATTTGTAGGTTATCAGTCAATAAATAAATTATATTACAAATTATTTATAAAATAATTTTAATATCGATATTCAATATCATGACCGATGTTGGGGGGAAAACAGGTTTTTTTTTTTTGGAATAAGGTCTAAAATTATTTTAAATAAGTTGGTGCAAGCTGATTAGTAGCTGGGTGACTAGATCTGAAATCTGAAGCATCATGGATCAGCTTGGACCATTAAATGACCAGTTTAGACCAGCCATTATGTTGCAAAACCACTAGCTTAAACCAGATTTTCCAGTCTCGTGTTTCCAGGCTCGTGTTTGATAGACACAACCTGCTTTTTCTTTAGAATGCGCATGACGCTTGCTATTTCAAGTCTGAATCTTGCAATTCAGGCCACACCAATTTCCTGTTTCAACAGGTATTACAAATGCTGTGCTTCCTATTACATGAGGCCTTTAATGGAACTCAACAAGACACTTCCAAAACCAGGAGAATGAATGGCATGCTGTCACTTTTCATAAACCCAACAGAAAAACACGGTTTCTGAGAATTTCCGACCTTCGGCAGCATCCTTAATATTTTACACACGAGCATACAATTAGGGGGCTCTCAATTTCCAAACACTCAGTGAGCTCAAAAGGTGACAAATTACACAGCGCTTTTAAGCTGAGGCAGAACTGAAGATGTTTTCTTCTTCACGCTTTGTGTCCAAAATGATACAGACTGATTATATCTCCTTTGAAAATAAAATTGCCTTTATAAGCATACGGCATTTGTGTTTGACAAACCTCCGCTGTGAATCTCAGCGAAATATCCTGCTTTCAAATCAGTCTGCCCTTTGTTAGGTAATCTGCTTTTCTCTCGCGTGCACGCTCCGTCTTTTCTCTTCTGTGTTTTTTTTTTACATGCAATAGAAAGAGGGACGCATATGAAACAAACACATATGAGTGGTGACATTTCAAATGATATTAGAGTGATACTCAAGCAGGCAAAGCAATCAAAAAGGCTTTGGCTAAGGCAAGGTGACCTCACTGAAATTCACAAACAAAGTGAGAGAAGCTAAAACATATTGCTTATCGTACAGCCATGAATTAAAACCTAAATGCTGACCTGAAAGAAAACAAACAAACAAAACAAATAAAGGCTTTCGTATATTTACATGCACGGCGAACAAGGCAAGACGGGAAATTACGAAACGCGCGCTAAGCATCGCATGAGATTCAAGGTCACGCAAAAAGCGTGAAGAAGGCAACTCGAAAGCTACTGCGCTCAAATGCCTTCTGGAGATGCTATGAATACTAAAGAAATGGTTTATTTGCTTCGGAAAGAGCCGTTTTTCATTTTCCAACAAAATCCAGTAAATTGCGGCCATGCGAACACTATGATGTATACCGTAATTATCTGTTGATTTACAAAATGCCCACCCAGTAATGAGGCAGGGCCGACGAGAGGCCCGGGCATACATCACTGTCTCTAACCCCAGAACGCCTTCGAGAGCACACCCTCGCCCTCTTGCACGTGCTATTTATCTCTACTCCATCTCTGCGCGCTTCGCCTCATGAAATCTGAAGTTACGTTTGCGATGCCAAGGCGTCAAAAAGTATGTTTCCTTTACCACTATGTCTATTTACTTATTTGTCTGGAGCTCGGTGCCGCCCACACTCTGTGTTTTAATTAATGTCACGTTGACCTGGACAACATGCTTTGGCAGTTGGCAAAGTCGTTTAATGCCAGCGTGATTCTCTACTCTATCCATTAGTGAGCGAGCGTGAAGGAAAGCGCATTCTAGAGCGCTGGCGTATGGTTTGTACTCTTTAATTGTATTATTAATTTATATTTTTACTGTAATCTTACTCTGGCACGTACAGAGCGTGTTTGGTGTGTGTAGTCGTGAGAACAAGCCTTCTGTGTGCATTCGAGAGCTTTTCTCACAGCAAGATGTGTGATCAAAGCCAGAAGGAAGCCTGCTTCCGTTCTGTAAAAGTACAAGCTGTCTGTCATCTGTCCTTCATTCCCTCAAACAAAGCATGTTCTGCTGAACTGAATATATTCTGAGCTTTAAGAAAGTAGAAAACAGAGCCTCTGTACTTCATGTTTAGTGCAATACATTTGCAGCAAATCACAAAAATGTACTGTGGAAGGTTTCAGCTCCATGTTTCTGCTAGTCACGCTTTTGCTTTGGTTCTAATAGTCGACATGTAACAGATTTGGGTCATGCATTTTGGTGTTTAGTTGGGTTGGGGGTAATTCAGAATTTAATAACTGACTGCCTTTCAGTTGATGGGTGTGAATGGCACACCCCACTGGAATTTGAATTGGAATAACAGGAAGAATTGATTTCATTAGAAATGAATAAAAAACAAAGGTAATGCATTTGTGGAAATTATTGTTTTTCCACCCTGGAACACAAAAATTAATTCATTAAATCTGATTAAATATACATTCAAATATACCATTCAAAATGTGGGGTTTGGTAAGATTTTAAATTATTTTGAAAGTGAAAGTCTCTTAGCTCACCGAAGCTGCATTTATTTGAAAAATACAGTAAAAATATTATAATACATTTTAATAAAAAATATTATTGTATTATAACTCTTTTCTATTTTAATATATTTAAAATTGCAATTTATTTCTGTGATGTAATGCTGAATTTTCAGCATCATTACTCCAGTGTCACATGATCCTTCAGAAATCATTCTAATATGCTGATTTGCTGCTTCAGAAACATTTCTCATTATTATCATTATACATTCATTCATTCATTCATTCTTTCTTTCTTTCTTTCTTTCTTTCTTTCTTTCTTTTTGTGGAAACCATTATATATGTATGTATTTCGATTTTTTATTTTATTGTTATTTTTTTTTTAATGCTAAAGATTTTACATTGTTACAAAAACTGCACTTTCGGTCAATTTAATGCATCCTTGCTGAATAAAAATATTAATTTCTTTAAAAATAAATAAATAAAATTCCTACATAAAATACCACAAAATAAAAGCCTAGTTCTTTTCTTTTCCGTCTATCGCACTTGAGAGTCATGATGGCCCCAATAGTCGTATTATGATTAACAACGTGATGCATATGAGAGCTGAATGCACTTTTTTTACACAACTCTGTAGTGTCATTCAACCTAATGACTTCCATATCCCACCCACCATGATTTATTAAAGCAATAGAGCCCATATTCAAATGACGGCGGCACGGCTAAGACACGCTGACATTATAATTTGCCATATATCACACAAGTGCATGAATAGCATTACCAATTTATGAATGTGATTAAGGGGGGGAATATTACTCTGGATTAAGTAGCCTGGCACTCTTCAAGAGTAAATAGTGTGTGTGTGTGTGTGTGTGTGTGTGTGAGCGTGCATGATAGACAGGTGATGCTGACGGCACTTTTCCATTTACTCTTGTTATCTAGATTATCTATCATCATTTATATAGAGAGCTTTTATACAGAGGGCCATGTTTACAGGAAAGAGGTCAAACGCTCATACACACATACACACTAACATCAAATGCTTCATAAAGACACCACAACCAGACGGATGATATAAATCAAGGGCTTTTAAAAATAGAATGTGCCTGAAGGGATGCTATGGGACTGTACGACAACCCTCTGTCAATCACATGAGCTTTGGTTCAAACAATAACACCCACAGCACATCTATTGATCTCATGATGTATCTCTCTTCAGGGGCCCGTTAATTTCACACAAAATAAACTATATCGCCACCGATTATTAAGATAAAGAGAGAGTTTTAGCTACTAGGTGTTAATTTATAGTCTGTGCATGTCCTGTTATTGGTGGTCTTTTTGTGCACCTTTATTGGACAACATTTATTAATAATTATTTTCAAACTCATTTTTTAGAGATTACAATGGAAGCCTGTTTCTGGCATGAAAATAAATAAATAAATTAATTTATATTTTTCTCACAATTCATACTTTTTTACTTGTGTTTTGTTTTGTTTTGTTTTGTTGCCACAAAATAAAAAAATTCAAAGTCAATTGTGAGTTTTTATCTCATAATTATGTACATATATCTTGCGATTCTGAGTTTATATCTCTCTCTCTCTCTCTCTCTCTCTCTCTCTCTCTCTCAGAATTGTGAGAAAAAAGTCAGAATTGTGAGATATAAACTCGGAATCACAAAGGAAAAAGTCTGAATTATGAAAAATACATTTGCATACTTTTTTTTATCCCATGGCAGAAAATTTTTTTCCACAGATTACACCTACTAATATTTCTAGCCAAATAAAAACAGAAAAAAAGTATATATTTTTCATGTATACAAAAATGCATGACTTTCCCAGGCCTGGAAATCACAATTCCACACATTTCCAGGTGTTCAGTGACTCTGAGAACCATGCAACCTGTTTCTTCAAACTTCAAAACTAAACATATAAGATGAAACATCCACTATAGTGCCCCTTACTTGCCCACGTTATGAATTTGCTATGACATATTCTAAATGCAAGAGCATATGAAATTTGGCTTATGTAGCCTAAAGTTCATGTTCATAGATGTTTCAGGCCTTTCATGTTCAAAGTCACACCGGAGACTTCCTACATCCATACATGCGTACGTTTTATAAATCATGCTTCCGTTTCCTACTCCTCATATTTTCCTCAATTTAAAACAGTC